TGGGGGAGCGACGGGGGGGGGGGCCCGGGCCCTGCCACAGCTGTGAGGCGGGGGAGGGGGCTATTCTGGTGGCTGGGGCTGGGAATGGGACATGCTGCACGGCGGGGTGGGGGGGAGGGAGAGAAGGGGAGGATTTCTGCTCCGGCAACCGAGAACGTGTGTGTGTGTGTGTGTGTGTGTGTGTGTGTATGTTAGTTAATAAATTGGGTGCCATGGTGGCACTCATCCAAACCAGCGCACATGACCTCAATATGGCGCACAAACCAAAACTCATTCTGCTCATGGTTGGAAAATCTTATAGGGAATACTAGTGTGGAATGTTCCCAGCCTCTGGAATGGGGGGGTGGGGGAGGGAAGAATACGGGAGCCAGGCAGGGGTGGGGGAGGGTTTCCAATTTTTCCAACCAGAGCGTGCGAATGGCATCCAGTCTGTCCAAGGGGAGAAATGGCCAACCCTATGGGGATACCCAGAACCCCTGGCATGATGGGTGGAGTGACAGGGACTCTCAGAGGGAGAAGGATGGGAGGGTGGCACACAGAGAGCTTGGGGGGCAGTGGAGGAAATGAAGAGATGCCAGGAGCCCTTGGAATGGGTATGAACTTAGCTACCAGCTGTGCAACAGGAATTCCTTATTCCCTAGCGCTGGATGCATTTCAGTGGTGTTGTATGTGTGTAGCTTCCCAATATTTTCTGTATGCTTGTGGATGGCAAACCATACACAGATATACCCTCTATGGACTGAGTTTAGCAGGAGCTTAATCTATTGTCTTTGGCGCTCTAGTCTCAGTCAAAGTTTAAAGTGGAGCAGGGACAGGGTAGGATTGCACCACAATCTGGAATAGATTTAAATGCTCAGATCACCAAAGGAGATATAGGAGTAACTGAAACCATTAGCAAGATAATCTTTTGGCCACTCCCAGCCATGCTGTCCTTCCCCGCCCCCCCCCCCCGGCCCCATTTGTACTGCAGCAAGGCTCAGAGAGCCTATTGCCTATAAAGAGGTGACCTTTCAGCTGGACTGATATGGTTGTGCCGGGAGAAAAATCAAAAGCCTGATCACCATTCCTGGGCCAAACCATCTGGCATCAAGACTGTCCAGGTAATTTAAACTGTTTTCTATTTTAGAGCAGAGTCATGTTTCTGATTTTAAAAAAGGGTTCCTTCTCCTATCCTGAAATATAAATTACCAGCCGTTAGTTAGAGTTACCATTTTCCAGGAGTGTGTGGTAGCTGGGGAGCAGGTCAGGAGACACAGGCTATCTTAAAGAAAACTGGACTGATCTGAGCAGAACATCATCCCTATGTAACTATTGATTAATACATTTCTTTAACGTATCTTTATGGAAAATTGGCCTTCTTGTCAATCAGACCTGGTTTTATTTTTTGGAAAAGATTACGAGTTTGGTTGACAAAGGGAACCATGCTGATGAAGTATACTTAGGGTTCTTTGGTAAGACATATGACTTAGTACTGCCCTGCATTCTGATGAAAAGCTTGGCACTTATACAATAGTATTAAAGCACAAATTAAAAGGATTAGGAACAGGCTAACTGTCAGAACTCAAAAAAAAAGTAATGATGATTTCCCATTGACAATGAAAGTATTTCTAGTGGGATTCTGCTGGCATCAGTTCCAAGTCTGCTGCCATTTTTATTAGAGATCTGGAAGCAAATGTAAAAATCACTACCTTAGGAAACTTGCGGATGAAACAAAGATTGGCTGATTGGTAAATAATGATGAGGACAAGGCAGCAGTGTTGCCACTGCTAAGCATTCACAAATTGGAAGGTTAGCTTAAAAATTATGAGATTTTAAAAAAAATAGAAGGTTAGCTTAAAAATCATGAGATTTAAAAAAAAATTGTACCTTTTGAGTTCTTACTTGCCTTTTGCTTTCAGAGCCTGTAGAAAGGTGCATTTGGGTAAATGTTTTCAAGCTTCTCTCTGCAAACATGATACCTAGAGAATTTCATGTTTAAAAAAAGCTGAGATTCTTGTGCATTCACACAACTCCAGGAGCTGGGGCTTTAAGAAACACACCAAATATCCCAACACACATGCTAAATCTGAAGAATTGGTGGTAGCAGTAGGGTAGCTTATCAAGTGACCTTGATTAGTTGGTAAGCTGGGCCCATTCAAACAAAAGGCTTTTAATACATCCAAATGCAGGCCACACATACAGAATGCGGGACTGTATCCAGACAAACAGGGACTCTGAAAAAGATTTAGTGTTGTGACAGACGGACAACTGAACTTGAACACCCAGTGAGATGCTGTGACAAAAAAGGGCAATGCAGTCTTTGGAGATACAAATACAGGTGTAGCAGGTCTGAGGAGAGAGGTGATTTAACCTCTGTAGATGGCCTTGGTGAGATCTAGACAACTGGGTGTGGTTCTGGTGTCCTTATTTCAAAAAGGATTATGAACAACTGGAGAGGAAAAGAGACACAAAATGAGCTGAGAGCTGAAAAACAGGCATGAAACTTAGAGCTCAGTATGTTTCATTTATTGTAAAGAAGAGCTAGGAGGAGCCTTGCTAATGGTGTATAAGTACTTCCACAGTGAGGTAAGACAGGTACTCCAGGCTCTTTCATTCTAGTAGACAAAAGCATAACAAGTGCCAATGGCTAGATGCTGAAGCCAGACCAAATAAATTATGCCTTTCTCATGGGCACCAACTCCATGGGTGCACCAGGGTTGGAGCACGCTCACCTCTCCCTACTGCAGAAAGCCACATTATCAGCACTTCCCCTCCCCCTCATTGCTGCAATCAGCTGTTCTGGGGCATGCAGGATGCACTGGGGGCAGGCAGAGGGGAAGGGCAAAGGCCAGGTGTGCTGGTGGGAGGGGCTGGGAATAGGGGTGGGGAGCAGAGTCAGAGCAGGAAAAGGCAGGACAGGCATGGGGTCTTGGGGAAGGAGTGGAGTGGGGGGCAGAGCTGGGAAGGGGGGAAGCAACCCCTGGCACCTTAGAGTAAAGATATTAAATTGCAATTATCAGGCTAATCATGTAGTCGATACATTTTGTATTTAGCCGCTAAGGGGACCTGCCGCAGAGCCGCTGTGAGATCCAGCTGGAGCCAGGACTGAGCAGTTCCAGCTCATGCCAGCTCTGAATCACTGCGGCTCTGCATTTTAAAGGTAGTAAGAACCACCAGGCCCTATAGAGGCACAATGCCCTACACCAGCACGGGCTGGTACTGCTCGGTCCCAGCTCACACCATGTCCAGCAGTCCCTGTTCGCAGTGACCTGGGCTGGCCATGGGTGGGGGCTGCTGCCAGATCAGCCCCTGCCTGTGGCCCATGGGGCTGCTGTGAACAGGCTGCTTGATGGCAGCAGCCCCTGTCCGTGAGGGGGCCCAGCTTCCCGTTGGGACCCCTGCAGACAGGGGCTGCTGCTGAAGCAGCCTCCTCTATTTTCCCCCACCTGCTGCCTCTAAAATCTTGGCATAGCCCCCCAAGAAAAAAATTATTGCCCACTGCTAATTTGGCTGGTGCTTGGTCCTGCTGTGAGGGCAGGGAACTGGACTGGATGACCTCTTGAGGTCCCTTCCAGTTCTAGTGTTCTATGCGTCTATGATCTATTGATCCCTCCTGGCTTGAAAAATAAATTGACAGCCCTGGGAACACTACACTTGATTGAAGCAGGAAGTGTTACACTAATTAAAAACAGCTTTTAAACATTGAATATTTAGATGTACTCCTCCTTAAAGCACTTTGTGCATGACTTCACTTATCTAAAATAGGTAAGTGAATTTATTACCACTTTATAGATGGGGAAAGTACAACACAGGGAGTAAGTAATGTGCCCAAGGTTACAGAGTATAAGTGGCAAGGCCAGTGTTAGTATAACACTGATTTGAACCTGGGCTCTTTGAAGCTTAACATAGGAACCACAATAGCATGAGCTATAGAAGTCAGCTGGCTTGCAGTCTAAGCTGTAGAGCTCCCTTGTTCTCATCTGTTGCTGTAAGCGGGCTAAGTGCCACTACATGGGACAGTGAACCACACTAGGGCTATGTCTATACTGGCAGCTTCTTGCGCAAGAGTTCCTGTGCAAGAACTCTTGCATAAGAATATGCCCACACTGCCATGTGCTTTTTGCACAAAAGCATGCTTGTGTAAGAAAGCTCCGATGGCCATTTTAGCCATAGGGTTTTCTTGCACAAGAAACCCATACCACGCGTCCATACTGCCCTCTTGTGCAAGAGAGCTGACACTTGTTAGAAAAGAGCATAATTCTTGTGCAAGAAACCCTCTTTTCCCATGGTTTACTGTAAATCTTCTTGTGCAAGAGCAGGCGGGCCGTGTGGACACTCTGCTGGTTCTTGCACAAGAACAGCCTTCTTGAGCAAGAACCTGACAGTGAAGACATAGCCTAGGTGTGTGGGTTACATAAGAACTCAGGGTTGGTGGCTGCCCATATAAAAATCAGTCTTACAACTTACTAACTCTGCTTGAGTCCACTTAAGGACAAATCCCGTATGGCAACACAGGCCTTGCCAGGTAAGCAAAGGACGAACTGAATTAAGCTCTCTAGAGGAGGGGCTTTCATTTTGTTGTGTTGAACAGTTAGAAGGTTTGGGTTGCTGGAGATGCTATTACTATACAAATGATAATTACAATACTAAAGCAGAATATTGCATAACTATTTCATGGTAGGTAACATGAGCATTTGATTTCAGTACCACAGGTTCACACAGAAGGTTTACATTTACAATTGTATAAGGGACTCCTCTGAGCCAGGAATTCCTGTTATATCTCTTTGCCTTTTTCTTGAAAAAAGAAAAAAAAATGAAGCCTGCACACTTGCTTTGCCTGTTGCTGAGCTGCTTTTCGGTACACGAAGCTGCCTGTAAACCCTTGAAGCTGGACTGCACTCTTGGAAAATGTAGCCCATGCCCAACTCAATACACAGTGGAGTGTTCGGAGGATAACTGCTGTGCTACATGTGCTGCTCCATGTTCCTGCCCAGATTATCACCAGTTGGAATGTGCCATGCAAGGCTATGAGGATGGAAACGTCCCTGTGGGACAATCTTTCTACATTGACTTTGCCACCCAACTCTGCACCTGTGTTTCTACAGGGAATATCTCCTGCGTGTCAGTTTGCCCCACGGTTTCACCTACGTGTAAGGAGACAGGCAGCCTTCCTGATGCCTGTCCCCAGTGCGTATGTCACTTGGACAATGAGAGACTCATAACTGCTGGCACCACCGTCCCCAGGGACAGGGAGATTTGTGTATGTCCCCCTGACGGAGGGAAACTACTCTGCACCCCAACCACACCTCCGCCCACTACAGGTCTAGAAATTATCCCTTGAAGAACTCCATTGTCCCTGTACCCTGCTCTTCCCCACCCCATCCCCACTGTAACATAGGGCATCACAGGCCTCATCCTTACTCCTGTCCAAGGCCATCCTGAAGGGGCAGGGCAAGGCCTAGCATAGCCCTCTTGCTCTAGCTGGGCCCGGCCTCCACTCCATCCTTTCCCACAAACCCCTCTCTCTGGTCTGCCCCATTCCACCCTTTTCCCCAAGCCTTCTCCCCCAAGTGGCATTAGATGTCAGCAGAGTGGCCTGGGGCCGGATTATTCTGCTTCCCATTGCTGCTGGTTCCAGACCACCTTCTAATCCCCTGGCCACACTTGGTCCTGTACTTCTGTGCACCCCTAAAGGGTGGGAGCTGAGGTAGTTGCCCTGAACCTTTGTATGGACAGAACAGAGGTGCCCCTACCATACCATACTAGATGACAGGAAGGAAAAAACCACAACTGCACATGCACACTCTGTGCTCAGAACCACAGCTGGTGTACACAGGCCATTATGGTTACACATTGGTGCACTCAGACAGAAATGTTTACTTCCTTTCCAATTTTAGGGTGCCTGCCTCTTTAATGGATGACAGTCTGTGGACCAGTACCATTTTGTGTGCATGCGCTGCCTGCCTCTTTAATGGATGACAGTCTGTGGACCGGTACCATTTTGTGTGCACACGTGCACTGTTTTGGCCCCTCCATACATTTTTATTTTTGGAAAATACAGTTATCTTTTGTAGTCCACCCCCACATATTGAAGCATGCATAGCGGTACCCAAAGCACACAGTACCTGTAACTGTACAGCAAGCACAACACCATTCTTATCTTCAGGAAGCTGCCCTGTCCCATTTATACCATAAGAGTCCGCACGACATGCTTCTTAGCAGCACCTAAGCTTGAGGGCCAGAAACCATCCCCGTGACTGACTTTTAAAGTGTCCTGGAAAGACCCACCCTCAGTCACATAACCCTCCTGGTGGCTGACTGTTTGAGACACCCAACAGCTGCTTCATCACCACCCTGGCATCAGCTTTGCCCTCTGTGACTCAGCCACATTACTCAGTGCTCAATAGGCTGCTGTGAGCCTGGGGCTGTTTTTCTCCCTGAGAGCCAAATGTTCCTTCAGTCTGCCAAAAACAGAATCAGTGACAATCTGTGCCAGTGGTGCTGGTAAGGTGGCCAAGGTAGGGCTTCCTAACCCAGGGAGAAGGGATGAGACGGAGGCCTCAGGAGGTGTCTCAGCTTGTCAGTAGAGCCAGTGTGCTGTGCCAGTTGGAAGAGAACATTTGTGCGGCTCTTGGACCAGTGTTGTGTTCCTACCGTGGGTGTGGCATGGACCAGTCTCCACTGAGCTCGGTGAAGCAGTCACAGTGGGCCTCCAGTGCTCACATAGCCATAGACAAAGAGCCCTGTCTTTTGGTGTACACCATGGGCAGCTGGTATAAGCGGCAGGGGAAGACCAGGCCTTTCTAAATGGCTAGCCTGGCCCCACCCACACTGCCCCCCAGCCCCTCTTCAGTGCATCTCCCCCAGTCTCCTGGGGCTTTCTGGGCTTCAACTCCATTGAGGCTGGGGCTGTGCCACCAGCTCTCTGGGGTTGGGGAGGCTGGAGCCAGGGGCACTGCCTGCTTGCAGCCCACCCTCCCCCTGTTCTGGGAAAGGCAGGGGCTGCGTGCTGCCCCTCCGTGTCCCGCCCCGTGTTCCAGCCAGGGCTGGAGAAGGCTAGTGCAACCTGACCTTCCTCCACCCTATGTGCCTGCTGGTGAAGTCTGGGGCTGAGTGCTGCCCACTGTGTGTGGGGGGAGGGAGAAGGAGGGGTGTCTGGCTCCCATGGGGCCCAGAGCAGCAGGGGCCAGTCCCCTGGCAGAAGGGGAGGGGCTGGAGGGCTTGTCTATGCTGGTGCCAAATAGACATCTGCATGCCCTCTGTTGCTCCATTGCAATTTGGGACACCCGTTGCAGAGTCACAGTCCTGCCTCGCCAGAGATGATTAATGGCCCTGCACAGTTCCATGACAGTGGCCCCCATTGTGGTTTTTGCAGGTCTAAAATGACTGCTCGTTGACTAGCAGCAGCCTGGGCTTGTACGCTGCCACGGTGCAAACACTACTCACTTCTCTCCATTGTCAGTGCAGCTCCCATTCTGGTGTCCCTGTGCTGGAGGGCTGGGCTGAGAGCCAGCCAGATGTTATGTAGCACCCCCAGCCCAACATTACCATGAAATTGCAGAGGTCAGTGGTTGTGTCTCAGGCCCAGAAGCAACATTCTGTCAACTGCAGCTGCTCTGTGAATGCCATCAACAGCCTTGAGTTGTCTCCTTGGCCCTTAGAGAACTGTCCTTAAAAAAAAAGTATCAGTCAGTCCCCTGTTGTAGGTCTGCAAGTACATAAGCCTCATGTGGCCTGGATTTTTAGCATTCACGAGAATAATGCAGAGCTCTGTGGTCTCCATGTTTCTCTCCAGAGACAGCAGACACCAAAGAGTGGTGCATGGGTTTGGGGATTTTTTTTAAAAAAAAGCCATGAAACGTATTGGTTGGAGAAAGTTGCATGCTGGCAACTTGACTGCTAGCTCCCAGACATCCCTGGGAGATTCATTTTTATCCCACAACATAAGGTGAACATTTTCCAAAAGGCTCTGTACTAGAAAATGTCATGTGACACATTAGGATATCTACCCCTGGCGTATTGCACTTTGCATTAACACAAGCACTCCTGGTAAATTTGTGCAATACCAATGCAAGCAGCCAAGAGAGAGAGAAACTTTGGCAGCTGTATGCCAACATATCTTGCATTGACCAGCACAGACATAGCATGATAAAGCTTGACAAAAAATGGATTCACTCAGGCAAAATGAAATTACAGCAAGCGATGTGTGAATTTTAAAACAACCTTGCAGATATCCCTTATGCCTATGGGGGGAACAAACACTAGAATTAGTGCCAGATTATGATTTTTGTACACAGAACTTCCATTATTGCCATGAGGGTGGGGATTAGGTCATGTGTTCCAATTAAGGGCACTTTTATGCCTTTTGTTAAGAAATGTAAATTGTTCAAGAATCTAGCTCTATTTGTCCAGTTGGATGGCCTGTGACTAGTCTCTCTCTTTAACCATCTGTTCTATTTTTGAAAGCTAGACGCCTGCTTTCTCTCAGCATGACAGTGATTCCCATAAGCAGGTCATTTCTGTATCAGTGATGGCTTTGAGACATAGGGCCTTCACACTTAAAAATCTAATTTAAAAAAATTGAAAATTTTAAGTTTTTCCAGTTACAGACTAATTCGGCTACCCCTTAGAAGCTATCAGAACGATGTTTAATACCTAAGGCATATTCCTTTTAAACTGGGTCTGAAGCAAAAACATTTGTTTTGTGGCAGAGTGATTAAAGTACTGAATTCCAGCTTATAGACAATAAACCCAGTCAAAGATTTCGAAGAATCTTGTTTGAGTCTACAAGAAATGTTGGCCAGAGAAGAGGAAAGACAGAAAATAAGAAACAGAAGGGTTGGAAGAGCTTAACAGGCAGAAATGAGATAAATGTTGTATGCATTATGGCCATGCATTAACCTAATGGTGAGGGGAGGGTGTCTATATTTTAAATGTAAAGGGTTAGCTGGCACACTGCTGACCACATCTGTGTGGCTGGTGCAGATCATGGCATGTCATTCTCATCATGGTGTCAGCTAATTTTGATCACTGACATGATTTGCATGGCTCTGACTGGTCTGTTGTGGACAGTTGATGCTAATTTGACACTTTACATTGGTGTTTGAATACAACTCAGATTTGTAACACAGAAAAGCCTGACTGCTTTAGGCAACTTCCCATCTCACTCACTCACTATGTTATGGCCAATCATACAAAATGCAGAACGCATCCTCAATTCTTACTGGTCTCCCAGGCTATGTCTACACTGAAGATATTTTTCAGAAAAAGGTACACAAATTACGAACCATAATTTGCTTACCTTTTTGCGATTCTTTTTTTGGAAGAGGCTTGTCCGACATTGGGCCAGTCTACACGGGGCCAATGCGGGAAAACCTCCTTTTTTGGAAGATTCCTTATTCCTCATAAAATGAGGCAGACAGGGCTTCTGAAAGAGCGCACCTGCTTTTTTGGAAACCAATCCGAAAAAGCAGATGCGTTCCCTGGATTCAGATGGGATTCACTGTTTTCCAGCTTGTAAGGCAAGGTTTGGACTGGTAAAATCCTAAAAAAGTTCCTTTCAAGATAGACAAGCTGGTGTGTCAGGGATTTGTCACAGCTTAGCAGTTGCAAGCCTTTCACTTGCTGAGGATGAGAAGGCTAATACAATAACTCACAATTCTGGGATCCCCACCAGATCATCACAATTACTAGACTAGAGCACAAAACACAAACACTGCATCAGATCTGGTTCCATCCAGCAGATGATAATTATGCAAATAGAGGACACAGAAAACATGGTAGCGCTAAGGCTCTTATCCTTCTTTTAGGCCAGCTATTCTCAACTGAGGGATGCAAGGACTTTTGGGGGCTGGCGCTGCATGGCCACCTGGTGAAACCCAGGGCCCCAAGCCCTAAGCAACCCACTTCCCCTCTCAAGCCATAGACAGTGTGGTATAGAAATGAAGCCAGCAGAAGTGTAGGACAGAAGGTAGGAGTCTCAGTGCCTCTTGGTCTGAAGCTGGGAGCAGCACAGGGCTGAAGACATGAGCCCCATCCTCCTCTCCTCCACTCTGAAACTGCTTGTGGCAGTGGAGCCCTGGTGCCCTCCCCACAATGTTATGAAGCTTCGAGCAGCATGGAGCAGACCGCAGAAGTCCCAGTACTCCCCCTCCCCCAGTCTGAAGCTGGGAGCGGCACAGAGCAAGGTTAGGAACCATTTAAAAAGGGATAGAGAATAAGACAGAGGACTGAGGTTTATAAAATCATGACCGGTGTGGAGAAAGTAAATAAGGAAGTGCTATTTACTCCTCATAACACAAGAGCTATGGGTCACCACATGAAATTTAATAGGTAGCAAGTTCAAAACAAAAGGCAGCTTTTCATCACACAATGCACGGTCAACCTGTGGAACTCTTTGCAAGAAAATGCTGTGAAGTCCAAGACTAACAAGGTTCAAAAAAGAGCTAGAGGACAGGTCCATCAATGGCTATTAGCCAGGATGGGTAGGAATGGTGCCAATAGCTCGTTTCCCAGAAGCTAGGAATGGGCAACAGGGGATGAATTGTTTGATCCTTACCTGTTCTGGTCACTCCCTCCAGGGCAGCTGGCACTGGCCATTGTTGGCAGACAGGACACTAGATGGACCTTTGGTCTGACCCAGTATATTTTTATAGATCCCTTGTGCTGCCTGCCCCTCCTTCCAACAGGGCTGGAACTAGGAGCTGTGCAGGGCTGAAGCCCTGTGCTCGGTGTTCCCTGTGGGCAGAAGCCCTGAGCCCATGGGCAGAATTGGGAGGCACAAGGGTGTTGCTCCCCTAAACTGCAATACCTTACATATAGTGAGGCAGACACTGGCAGATCAAGTGCTCCCTCCTTCTTACCTTCCCAAGTTCCTCTCAGGGCCTCTGGTCAGGGTGTAGGCAGCTGTCTCAGCTGTGGCATTCCCCCATCTACTGGTGGCACCAAGGTTGCAGCT